CTTCTCTCTAAAATTCAACCCCTTTTTCTTTGCTTGATTGAAGATTGTTGCATACGGATGCTTGCACTCTGAGTTGCGAACCTCCCTGCAAAGGGTTAGCTCAAATCTCCGCACAGATCGTGAGATTTGCTCCAAGGGTGAGAGGAGGTCATGAGGCTGATACACATTCACTTATTGCAAACCCCTGATTTCTTGGCTCGATTTGATCTCGATCCGAGCAGAGAACCCCATCAATCCATATATGGATGAAACGCCCACATAGCAATGAACATCATACCGAATTTTGAGCTCATTTGGCCACGATAATTGAGAGATATGGCCCTCGAATTTTGGCCAAAAATTTCATGACCCACCGTAATTTCCATAAAGATGACAACTCACTTCTATTATACGGTCCCTCATCAATGTTTTGGTGGTCCTATCAGCATGATGCATAGATTTCCAAAGAAGAAAGAGATTGTGAGACCTGGGGTCACGAGATTTGCGACCTGGTACTTATGCTTAGATAATATACATTCAAGGATAGTGCAGTTGAGGCAAATGTTTACCTCGGATGACTGGAGAGCATGCAAGTGGTCCAAAGATCAGGTTGGAAAGAAGGTGAGAGATATTATCCTTTATAAGGCTTTTTGGCGAGGGGTGTAGGGTGCTCTTAAGTATTTTTTCTTCTTGTCAAATTCCTTCGCATGGTTGATAGTGACAAGCCTTCTATGGGCTATATATATGAGGCTATGGAGAAATGAAAAAGTGAGAGAGCCCAAAATTTTGATGATGATGAGAACAGCTATAAGCCTGTTTGGGAGATTATTGATGAGAAGTGGGATAGAGAGCTACATCGGTCATTGCAAACAAATGGTTATTATTTGAACCTAGCTTTTTTTATGTTGACAATGATATACACATAAATGACACAATTCTGACTGGATTTAATAAGTGTGTAGATGTGCTAGTCCCTGATCCTGATATCCAAGATATTATATGCACTGACGAGCTGATAAATTACAAGTGCTCATTAAAGTCTTTTGGGAGTCGAATGGCAATTAGTCAAATGACCAAAATTGATCAAGGTAGTAATACTATTTTTAAGTTCATCAAGTTCAAGTAATCAAGTTTCATTTTTATAATTATATTATTTATTTAGGATTTTATTCTACATCTTTGCAACCAATTGGTGGAGCCAACATGGGTGTAGTTCTCCAAATTTACAAAAATTGGCCATTCGGATCTTAAACCTAACAACTTCCTCATCCGGTTGTGAGCACAATTGGAGTACGTTTGAAGGGGTAAGGCCGTAAGGGTAATTTGTATAATTGCATTAATAATACATGAACTATAGATTTTAATTAGTTTCATTTGATTTTGTTAGATTCATACAAAGAAAATGAACAGGCTTGAATCAAAGAGGCTCAATGACCTAGTCTATGTCAAGTATATGAAGGATTGACATAGGACATGGTCATGGATGCTTCAGGGACATCAGCTGACCCTCCTAGGGCCACTAGATCTTCTGCACAGAGAACGAGGGTGGAGGAGGAAGAAGAGGCAGATTCAAAAGAGACGGAGGACGGCGACGACTCCGATGAATATAATGTCAATGCAGCTGACCCTAATTTTTCTGATGATGAATGTTAAATAATTATTAAACTTTGAACTTTGATTGAACTATTGTCTATTGAAGATTCTTTAGAGTCTTCAAGTATTACTTTCATTTTTTTTTTTTCTTCCTCATGGTGATGTAATACTGTAATGTGATTTGTGGATAGTGGATTTGTAGTTCCATTGGTTTGGTACTATTTGGTAACTTTGATTTGGTAATTTGGTTAGTCGGTAAATTTTAACTTTTAATTGGATATGGATTATGGACCAACTTATGGTTATGCTTATGGAGTGTATGCTAATGTGCAGTATACTTTGAATTCTCATATACCCTAAATGCCTAATTCTTATATGTTATACAATATATAACTGTAGAATTCTTTTTGGAATCAACTGGGCTGCCAGGTTCTGGACGCCCGCCTTGGGTGGCCTGACCCCCCAGGCCACCTAGGACCCGCCTAGCTCTTTTTGAAACACTGCCTGAGGCTCATATAAATGTTGCAAAATGGACGGTTGAGCTTCACCGGGCCATGTCTTGGTTATACGATGTCGGATCGATTTGACTTTTGGAAGGTGGCTTCGTGGCTTCTTAGCTCAAAGTTTGGGACCCTCGGACTGTCATTTCAAACAAGTTTGACCATCATTTGGCTTCGTGGCTTCTTAGCTCAATTATTTAAAAGTACCAAAAATTGTTTAAAATTACAAGTGAGGAACCCTAAAAGTTGGCTTCTTTGCCTTTAGGCCTTTACATGTTCTATGAAGCTATATTCACGTAAAATATAAAGAATCACAAGCCCCACATGATTCTTTTTCATGGTGCCTAACATGTTCAGAAAAAATGTTTAATAGTATTTCTTCATGTGTTCACCATTTCTCAACTTCATCCCTAGGTAGGCATAACCCATTTTCCCACTAAATACTCCAATACATAACAACAACATACTCCTTAACTCTCTACTAGAACCTAATTCAGCTACCAACTCCATCTATGTGTGATGGTAGCAAGACTGAATACAAGTATTTGTTTTCTCACAACTATGATGATGGTTGCTTCTTGCCACATTGCTTTTGAAGTTAAAAATCATTTACGAAGTCAAGGACAATTCCATACACCTAATGAGAGGATGCCCTATGATTGAAAGACGACTCCCTACCTATTGAAGGAGAGATAGGGAGTGCTATACAAGTCCTCACATGCCCCAACATCAGCCATTGAATAATTTGATCTTGAAACAAAAAATCGGCTCCTGCAAAGTTGTGGTCTTAACACACATACTCTCTCTCTCTCTCTCTCTCTCTCTCTCTCTACCTACTTGAGGAACAAGATCCAACTGATACACAATGATAATTATCCCTCAAATTTGAATCATATGTAACTGGAGACCAAATTTCATCTACTAGGGACCTACTCTGCTATCAAAACAGCAAATAAATAATAGAAGACAAAATGACTATAAAATCCTACAAAAACTCAACAAATACAGATCCTTTTACACTACATTACATGAAGTAGAAAACAAAAGAATATAATACCTTCAGTGCCAAAATCTAGATACTAGGTCTCCAAAAATGTCTCTGGTCCAAAATACTCACTCTACTTTGCAAATTTCTCAAGTAATTACACAAACTTATGCAAATTTGTTATGAAACAAGTACAATGCTCCAAGAACATGGGACAAATGAGTCAACATTATTTATCTTTCAACTATTGGTCACATAAATTGGATAATACACTGTTAGTGGGGTATTCCCTTAGGGAAAAGTTTATATAGAGCCGAGGCTCTAAACAATCAAATTTGAGCCCACCTCAAAATTTTCACTAGAAGACGTTGCTTTGATGCCCAAATATCCTCAAATTGATCATCTCAACATCAAGACGCATGGACATGAGAAAAAAATGGATTTCAATTTATCGAAATAGTGTATTTTGTAATGCATTTTTGGACTGTCAATTTTCAAGATTTTCAAGTTTTCATAGATCTATAGATCTACACTATTTTTTAAACTTTAAACTTTATAAATAAAGATGAAAATATATTTTAAGGCTATCACAAAGATTTCCAATATTGAAACCACATTTCTCAACATTTCTCGACACTATTAGAAGGTAGGCTAGAAATTTGATTGTTTAGAGCCTAGGTTCTATACAAACCCCACACCATTCCCTTAAACTGGTCAACATTCATTGGACGCTTAATACCCTTGTGTTTTTAATACAAAAACTTTTTTTGAGCAATGACGATTTTTGTCATCAGTGAGGGGTGGAATAGATACATTTAGAAGAGGATAATAACATTTTATTAATTGTTGGAAACCAGTAATGCTCCATGTAGGTGATGTTGAAAGGCCACTTTAATCCTTATCATGGAACCAAGCTTAGGAACTGCTAAGGACATTTAGATTGCAATCCCAACTCATGTCTCCCCTTCGGTTCACCCTTCTCCCTTTTCTGCTAAGCCCCCACTATTTTTGTCTCAAGGTGGGGTGCATGAATGCTCAGCTTTGTACAAGGAAGACATATTATAGACATGTACATCCCTACCTTCCAATTCTTTTCTTTTTGATTCACAGGCTAGGTGGTTGTTACCAAAAGACCTTGGTGTAACTTTGTACAAAATAGCATTTTCCTAGCAGTTATTTATTAGATCAAGTACATTTCCACTCTGTGTATCATGTTACATCCCCTCTGGGCGGGGTCATCTGCAAAATGGTTAATATATTTTTCTCTATCAAATATTCGTACTTTCATGTTGATTAATTACCTAAAATACCACTATATAAAAAATTTACTTATATTGAGAAGAAAGGATATCAAGTGCCCAAAAATATTAAGTATCCGAAATACACAACAAAATGAGTAACCGAACAAAACCCTATGATGATGCTGAAAAGTAATTTACTTGTATTGGGGAGTATGGGTATCAAGTGCCCAAAAATATTAAGTATAGGAAACACACAACAAAATGAGTAACCTAACAAAACCCTAAGATGTTGCTGAAAAGTAAATTTGAAGCATATTGGGGCCTTTATATAAATCCATGAATAGAAAGTTTTTGGGGACAAATTTAACTAGCAGATCAGAGACTGATACAATCAATGGAGCAGTGAAACTTTTACCAGAACTAACAAAACTACAGTGCTTAACCCAAGGATTGATAAAGGTAAAACCCAGCAATCACCCCTAATCCCCATGATTCGATGTACCTAAAATTCAACTCATCCTTTCTCTTGAATCTGTTGAATAGCTTATGTATTCTCAATAATTGATTAAAACCGGATTAAGGAAAATTATTATTGTTCATCACCGAATTGTGGTAGATCAAAGCTTCATAAATCAAAACATAACCCCCACGTATTCTAAAACCAAAGTAAAACAAATCCTAACTTTCTGTCTCTCCAAAAAAGGAAAAATTAGGGTTTCTATCATAAATGAATCAATGAATCACTTGCAAACAATGCAAATCACCTCAAAAACAAAGAAAATGAAACCATTTCCATTATTACCAAACCAAAATTCAAGTCATCATTGGAAAAGGGAAAAAATAAAAACAAAAAAAGGGGGAAGAGAGAGTGAGCAAAGAGGAGTGATCTTATCTAACCTCAAGCTGCAAAGTAGACCTCTCTCTCTCTCTCTCTCTCTCTCTCTCTCTCTCTCTCTCTCTCTCT